TTATTGTGTTTTCCCTTTTTTCCTGTTTTAGTTACTGAGAGCTGAAGGTGGTGTTGTTGGTGTCCGAGGTGGTGGCTTCCCCCTTTCCGTGTGCTGTGCTTCCCCCGGGTTTTTGGATCTTTTCTGTACTGTGGACACGTGTATCCGGGGTGACGTAGGTTTGTTTTTGCGGGATCCCTCCACTCATTCGTTGACCCTCTCCCCCACTGGTAAGCCTCAGCCCCCTTGTTAGTTCTCCCTTTTGGATATAGCCCTGTGTGACTGTTTTTAAATTGTATGTTTACTATTGTACACAAATAAACTGTTCTATTTTTGATAATTGAAACACGTCTCTTGTTTCATGAGTAACCGAACCTCTGTGTCCTAGTGACTTAAAACTTGTTATATTTCCCTGGGTGAAATTCCCGGGGTGGCGTTGTCGGACTTAGTGGTTTAACCAAACTACTGTTAAATCAATACATTTCTTATGCGGCTGCTGCCACACCTTCTTTAAAAATGAAGACATTCAACTAAAAAAGATGGCATATTAAAGAGCATAACTTTACATTTGGGAAATAAGAGCAAATGAACAAGCAGTGTCTGTAAGGATGGCATATGATAATCAGTAATGTCGGTTAGAAATAATGTGCAGCTGCATTGCCATCTAGTGTACAAATATGTGAATAACAGGATGGTTTTCAGAGCATTATAAGAAACACAAACAATAGTTAACATTGCAACCCAATTTGCTTATAATTATATGCGTTTGTAAGATTGAGAAACAAATAAACAACAACATTTTGATCCGAATGCTCTATGATTACTATATCATAAATTGGCATTTCGAGTTGAATAAAAAAGAGAATTGAATCAGTTTCAAGGACAAATGTCGGAAATGAATGTTTGTGTGTAACTAATATGATAGTGTCAAGAACAAGTAGTGATTTTAAATAACCCCATTATTTTAATATAATTCAGTAAAAAAACAGCCCCAATGACATGCTGGGGTTTAAGAGAAGACCAACAATCTGAGATTTGAGAAGGGTGAGAAACAGAAAGGGGGATAAAACATGATTTTTCATTTATTAGTGATAAAAAAATGTGTGACAGTTAATGTTGACCCCCACCCAAACTGTCATTGAGTGCATTGCCTTACTCTATTATGTCCTAATGATTTTTGTGCAAGTTTATTGTGAATGTTTGCTGAGGAAGTAAATAACTAAACATTACACACAGGAGATGGGATTATTGCAGTGATGTACTTTTATAACAAATTACATTTTTTATTTGTTTTGTGTTCTTTGTCAGTAGTTTATTATGTAGACGTTATGGTAATTCATGATGTAATTCTAAAGTGTTAGGTACAGGGGAGCGACCACATTTCCCTTTTGGGTCTCAAGCTGAAAGAGTTTGAGAACCCTTGAAATAGAGTATAATTGAGAATGAGTAATGCGATACGTCAATGTCATCTTTTCAGTAACAGGAAGCCAGGCTCGGAGGTGGATGAGGTAAGCATGATCACATTTATTACAATAAATCACATTAATAACAAAAGTCTGTCATCACCTAGAGAGACTCTGATGTGATGCTGTAAATGTGATAAACAGGGTAATCTGAATAAATCTGAATACTGTAGAAGACAAGCTGTCTCTATAAAAGCCTCCGTCTGTGGGGCGATGGCTCAGAGTCCGGGGCCTCCAGCAAATATGAGCTCCAGGGCAGATTGGATGTCACCATCTGTGGCCTGCAGCACCCTCAGCATCAGATCCTCGTCCTGGATCCCCATGTCCCTGAGCTGCTGCATCTGGGACTGCCAGCGGCCCTAGCAGAACAAAAACACATTCACTGAATAACTATTTCATCCAAAATCCAGAGCACCAATCATTTCCATTCCTGCCTTGTTTTGCTTCAAAATATACAAATATTTTACCTAAAAAAGGACAGTAACCATTTTTATTTAATCGACAATTCAGAGTACACCTTCTCCATTAATTGCGGCATTGAGTCTGTTCAGCCTCACCTGTAGAGCCGACATGTTGGAGGCTTGCAGAGCTTGCTGCAGCGCCTGGCTGAAGAGATCGTTACTCACTGGGGTCCCTGCTGGCATGGGGGCTACGCCACTAGAGGGGTCCGACTATAGCAAAAACATAAATCTGATTTTGTATGTTTTCAATACATATTAATGTCCTTAATAGTTCCATATTTTAAGCTCAATACAACATCGGTTCAGTAGTAAAACATATGTGTCATCTTTTTCTCCTTGTTATGTTACCTGGCTAGAAGTTGTTGGAGTGACCGCGCTGCTGTCAGGCGTGCTGGCGAGGGCCAAAGCTGTGGCCAGCTCGCTCTGCGTTATTGGTCGAGGGCCCGTCGCTCCGCTGTGGCTCAGAGACACTGGGCGTATTCCCGCCGAGCCTCCTGCTCTGTGTGAGGGACCCGCGGGGCTCCCCTGTTACACACACACACACACACACACACACACACACACACACACAGACGTTAGCATCATCAGTTATCCTGTACATGACACATGATGTTCAGAAAGGGGCGGAGGTACTCACGGACTGGAAGTCGTCCTCATCGTCAGACATGCCCTCAAACATGAAGCCCCCTGCCAGGTAAAAAGGATTATGTATTTGTAGTGAAAAAACACAACAACATGGATTCAACATGTCTATGCATGTTCTATTTTAAGGCACACACAATACTCTAGGTTTTATTTCATTGAGAGCATTGACCTTGTGTCTCACTTTAATCTGTTGTTTAAATGTGTAGCTTGCCAACAACAATTCTTCATAACCATAAGCGTCCCTCTCTTGCTTGCCATAGGTTATGCCTGTTTTTATTGCACCCTGTCCTCGCTCACCTGGCATATCGCTGTAGGAGCTGGCGGAGACGTTGCGAGAGGAGCTGGCGCTGGCCTGAGCGGGCATGCTGCCGGCCACAGAGTGCAGCACCAGGATGATGGCATTGACGAGGGCCGGGTGTGAAGAGATCAATCTATGAAACAGACAGAGAAGTATAGATGGGAATTTAAAGGACTTTCCACTGTGTGTGTGTGTGTGTGTGTGTGTGTGTGTGTGTGTGTGTGTGTGTGTGTGTGTGTGTGTGTGTGTGTGTGTGTGTGCTGTACTCA